TTTGTGCATTACAAGACTGGAAACCTCACAAATACCCATCAGAAAAGGAATAGTTTAACAACTAAATAGTACATTCACACAGAGGAGTAACATGCAGTTACAAGAAAGAATGAGGAAAATGTCAACATTTTGCAATGAAGCAATTTTTCGGACGTCATCTGTCATAAAAATAAAGTAGAAAAGAGTATTTACACAGTATATTACTTTTAGCTTAAGAAAAAAGGAAAATATATGTGTGTGTTGGCTTATATTTAAAAAAGGGAAGTACAGTATAAATAGAAAGCTGACTTTAAAATAAGATATTTTGACTCCACATCCCCTGTGGGACATAGCTTAAGCCAAAATGAAAATGATCACCGAGAATTCTTACACTGGGTTCAGTAGTCATATTATTAACTTGTGTTAGTATTATTAATTATAAGTAATTAGATTAATGCAGCTAGGAACCAAGTTTCTGTGTAAGAAAAAGCTTAAGTATAAACTCAAAAAAGTAACAGTTTAGCCATCTTTCATTTCAATAGGAGGCATCAGTATTTATTATCGAATGTTATTTATTATGATTTATATTATTAGATATAGTCATTGAAAGCAGAGAAATGCACAGGTGGCAGCCCAGTACCATTTATTTCCTTTAGTGCCCAATTTGTGGTCAGTAAGTAGCATTTTCCACTAACAGGAATCAAGGCTTTGAAGGGATGGCCCATCCCACGTGTGCAATGTGAATGCACAGAACCACCCTGAGACAGCTGGAATCTGAAAGCCATCAGAGACTATGGGGTCGGGGCTGGGGATTTAGCTCAGCGGCAAAGCGCCTGCCTTGCAAGCGCAAGGTCGTGAGTTCAGTTCCCGGTACCGGAGAAAAACCAAAAAAAAAAAAAAAAAAAAAGAGACTATGGGGTCGTGCCAGAATGACTCAGAAGCTAACCTGAATGAGCCTCCAGGGGACAAACACGGGACAGTTTGAACTTCAAAAGGATCGAAATCTATCAGTATTTGTGAATTTATGACAGTGCTTTAAAAATATGATGAAACGAGAACCAAGCTCATTTGTCACTTGTGAAGTTGTGGGGGTGTCAAGTCATTGTGAAAATGGATTAACAAAAAAGGGAGATCTAGCGCCCACTGCTGCTTTCCCATAGTTTGTGTTTCAGGGTAAATTCTTTATAGAGATTTACTGCTAATAAATGCAAAAGGATGCTATAAATAGAAAACCCATGATTTTGCAACATCTAATGAAATAATGGCGCTAGGTAACAGTCGTTAATGGACGCTAAAATTATTACCTAAAGTGAGAGCTTTATAATGGAGAATCAGACTGTTAACATTTGAAGGCACTAATTAATCTCATCCCCGAAGGTGGGACAACCCAACATTATGCTCCTCTAACATGATTTGATAGAAAAAGAAACAGTAGCTCCTGTGAATATTCTTACTGACACCCCTGTGCCTGACAGGTTAAACCAAATCTCATCCATATCTAGCTATTTGCGTCCCCCTTATCCACGGGAGACACATTCTAAGACTTCCAGTGGATGTCTGAACTATGGTACCACTGAACCCTATGTAATCACATTTCTGTTTATATACATACCTGTAATACAACTTATTTTGTAAGATTAACAATAGTAACTAATAATAAACCACAACAATATGAATATATTATAATAAAAGTTATATGAATATGTTCTCTCTTCCTCTCCCTGCGTCTTCCTCTCTTTTCTCTCTTTCCCTCCCTCCCTCTCTCTCCCTTAAAATATCTCATTGTATTGTATTCATCCTTCTGGCATAAATATTTCCTTTTCTTTTCTATAATGCTGGGGCTCAAACCCAAGTCCTTAAACATGCTGTGCAGGTACTCTACCACTGAACTATCATACCTCCCCAGCTCTGGCACAAATTTCTTTTTTTTTTTTTCATCATTTAAGATTCATTCTTATCTTAGATCTTAGTAACCTCCACATGCTTTCTTTTTCTTTTCTTATTAGAGAACTTTCACTTTTTTATCTAAAGTAGCACTTTATGGCTTCTATCACTATTTTGGGTCCATTCTTAAGTAAAATAAGGGTTATTGGACTTAAGTATTGTGATATTACCACAGTCTGCTAACCAATATGGCTACTGACTGTTGGGCAGGTAGCATAGATATGAATTATCTGGGGCAGGATAGTGCAGAATAATGCAAGGCTTTATCATGCTATTCGACATGGCATGCAGCTTGAAACTTATAAATTATTTATTTCTGGAATTTTCCTTTTTTTTTTTTTTTTTAGACCATGGTTGACTGTCAGGAAGTGAAGTCAGAGAAAACAAAGCTGCTCCAATTATGAGGGAACTACTTTACCAGTTTACAGGAAATACAGGAGACAGAGGAACATGTTGAATGCCACAGGCTGGAAGTCAGCCTACTCCTGAATGTAGGAACAGCAAACAAAACAAATGTGCCACTTTCTTCTGCAAAGAAGTATTACAAGAGGAAAAGAGGGAGGGGGAACTGTTACAAGTTAAAAGCATCTATAATCCAAATGCGGTATGAATCTTGTTTGGAACTTTGTTCGTGCTAACTGTAAAACTACATTTAAAAATAGTATTCAAAGGAATATACTATGGTTATTATGTGTTGTTAAGGGATTTTTGATATTTTTATTGAGTCTGTTAAGGGTACAGCGATTATTTTTAATAGTCTTTTTTTTTTTTTTTTTTTTTTGGTTTTTCTCCGGTACCGGGAACCGAACTTACGACCTTGCACTTGCCAGGCAGGTGCTTTGCCGCTGAGCTAAATCCCCAGCCCCCTATTTTTAATAGTCTTACGTTTTAGAAACACTCACTAATGAATTGATATGCTACCTGAGATTCTTCTAAAAAAAGACTTCTGCAACTTAAGAAAACAGTTCAGTGGTGAAGTTGTTTACAATTTTCTTTCTTCTTTGTTGTATGTGGACATTTTACATGATGAAAACAATCAAGTTTTGAGAGGCAGAATCCTAGCAGAGGCCTAGATTATAAGCACTATTGTTTTGTTTTGTTTTGCAGTGCAGGGGATCAAATGCAGGGCCTTGTATATGCTAATAAGCACACACGCCACTACTAAGCTATATCCTCAGCCCCACTATTTGTTTAATGGAGTCACAGTTACTCTTTTCCTTTTCTTCTTATTGCGTCCATTTGCATTCTCTCTATTACTGCAAATTTTTCAAAATCATTTACCTAGCCACGTTTTCCACTAGGCTATTCTGGCACTACAAGGCTTCCAAATATAGATAGTCATTATTCTCATTTTCAGACAAGGAAAATGATGCCTGAGCATTAACTTAGTTATTGACTCTTTTAGTCATGTTTCTACTTCTATGATAAAAGTACTTGAGATAATCAACATAGAAGAAAAGATTGATTTTGGCTACCGGTTTCAGGGGTTTTAGTCCATGGTCGCTTGTCACTTTGGACCTGTGGTGGCACTGTACATTATGGAGGGAGCTGTATAGCAGAAGATGTGTGCCTACCTCATGGTGGCTGGGACACAGTGAAAGGGGCCCAAGTCCCAGCATGCTCTTTTCAAGGTCACTTCTCCAGTGGCCTCACTTCTTTCCACGGGCCCCACCTCCTTAAGGTTCCAAGTTCCTTCTCAGTAACTCCACACAGTAGCAGCCAAGCCTTCAACAGATGGGCTCTTGAGGCACATTTAAGAAACCCATAACACCTATAAACCCACCTGCCTGCCTCCCAAATCTGAGTCTTTATTCATTATTTTATGCTGGTTACCAAGAGTAACCCATTGATTTTATAGTTTAAGAAGTTTTTATTTTTAGTTTATTAATTGGTAAAATTTAAACAATAAGTAAATAAGAATAGATCAAGTAGTTACATCTATGAATGATAAAGATACCATTCTTATTGATACAGTTACAGACACCTAAGCAATGATAAAGGTGAAATAGGTAGCAACTTTTGTCACATTCCCAAAGCCAAAAAATAACTTTTATTTGTGCTTGCTCACCATTTCTCAGCCTTTTGGTTAAGCTTAAGTGTAGTATTTATGCTTACTCTTCAACAGCATATATCTGGTAATGATTTTAACTAGAAGCAGAGATCTGAGAAAAATGACTGATTTTTCCTTTGCATGTGTTTGTGAAATATTTTTAGGACCATCGCAACAAAGAAATCCTCTAAAAATGTCAAAGCAAGGACAGTCGATGAAATCCTGAGCATCTCTGTGCTACTGTTTGCTGTGCTTCCTAGCAAAAATTATCTTGGCTTTTGGAACGCCTGGGTACGCCTGTGGGCATGTGCAGACCTTGCTGTTATCTGTCATGTGTCGTGCTCTAGATGTCAGGAGCAGCAGTCATCAGTCAGGGAGGGGTGGCACACCACCTTGCTGCATTCTTGCTGCAGGGTGTGTGAGATTCATACCCTCGGCTTTACAAGGTTTAGTGGAACTTTGCAAAACACCCGCAGCGCAGTACTTCATGGCTGGTCTCACATAACGATTTATGTCTTGTAGATGTCAGACTTGGCCTTAGGAAATTAAACTGATGATCTGACATTGTTGTTTCCTTCAAGGATCAGGTACTAAATATAGTCAAGCTGAACGACAAAATTTTACCCATACTCAGAGGCCAGTGAGGGCATCAAGAATGGAAGAATAATAAATATTACTAATATTTATTGAGTGTCACTGTATGCCAGGTGCTGTGCTATCCCTATCAATATTTAATTGTGTTTAGCACTTGAGGTAATTCTATTTTATAGCAGAGGTGGCTGACGTTTAGAGAGTTTACGTGACTTGCCTCTGGTTGCGCAACTAACTTAGCAAGAGGCGGACCTGGGCTCTAAACCCAGGCTGCCTGACCCCACGCCTCTGTTCTCTCTGCACTGTGTAGTCTTAGTGGCTGCGGAAGGAGCTGAGCACCCATAATCCACCACTGCCATGCTTGTCCCCCTAAGGGCTTTCGGAGCACCTTCAAAACTTCCGTTCTGTGCCGGAGTTCTGTTTTGCAATTTTACAGATGTCTGGAGGCGAGCAGAAGGAGATGAAGAGGTTGATAGAACACACGTGGCCCGTCTCACAGAGTTGATACGAGGATACAGAACGCGGAGTGATTTACTCTCTAATGGGAAAGCTAGTTGGTCTAGCCACCTTGCCTGACAGCTGAAGGACATCACAATGAATATTCATCCAAGGCCATCAGAAGGAAAGCAGATCAGACACGAAATTAAAAGAAATGACAAACAAATACCATTTGTTCAATACAAAAAAAATACCAAAATAAAAATCTACCCTGCTCAAGAAGATATCCATTTTTAAAATCAGTTTATTAGGAAAATACAGACCCTGCTCACTTTGAAATCCTAAACCTCTTCAGGCACAACTCATTGCTAACATGACGTACTTACCTCAAACAGTGATATTTTGGCAAATGCGTATGAGTAGCTGCAGTCGCATATAGAAAGCACTGGAATGATACAACATGGTATTTTGCTTTCTTAAAAAAATGGGAACTGTCTTTGATAATGCGTATGCCACAAACACCACTAAAAGTAATTTGCAACTGGCAAGCTTTTTTTTTCCCCCTTTGGTATTTTTTTTTCTGGTCTGAGAGAAGTTTTAAAATATAAATTTTATAACTGTAGTGCTTTTGGGAATAAAGAGAAGATTTTGCCAGCTTATATAATTGGGATAGGCTTTACTGTTTGTGTAATAATTGAAGATGACTCAAACAGATTTTCTCTGACTAACATCAGAAATGAAAATAAAAATCCTGTCTACTGCAGATGGCAGTTGGCTTGCCTCGCCTCACCCGCTGGTGTGCGTGACCTGTGCGTCACCCCTGGATATGCGACTTCCTCCTCTCCTCACGCGCTGACCTGTGGGTCAGAAGTTAAAGCCGCTGCACTGAGGCTTCGGCATTGCTCCTTGCCCCTCCGCTGTTCAGCAGTCTTCATTCAGCCAGACATGCCGTGGGAACTCCTGGCAGAATAGCAATAGGGGAGCAAGACTGGGTGTGTATAAGCGTGAGTTCCCTCCTTCCCTCCTTCCTTCCTTCCTTCCTCCTTCCTTCCTTCCTTGTCCTTCCCCGCCCCACTCCTTCTCCCTCTCCCTCCCCACTGCCCAGTAGTAGGGGTTGAATCTAGGACCTTTGCATTGAGGTACATCCTAGCGCTTCTTTTTTTCCTTGAGACAAATTTTTGCTAAATCACTTAGTTACAGAGGTTGGGCTCAGACTTGCAGTACTCCTGCCTCAGCGCCAAGAGCTGTGATTACAGGTGTGCCTGATTAAGAATGATTTACCCATAGGATACCTTCACTGAATGAAAGAAAACAAATTTGAAATCCTGGCTGTATTGAAGGGGGAGGTTAAAATTTTAAATAAAAGCCTGCTCAGGATGCCTGCCAAGACCAGGCGGACATGTCTGGCAGCCCTGACAATAGAACATTTCTTTCTTTGTATAACCCCTGTCTCTACTGCCTTTGTATAACTGATGGCCTTGCAATGTAACTTAAAATGTAATAGGACATTTCTTCCTTTGTATAACTCATGCTTTGTATAACTGATAGCCTTACAATGTAGTTTGAGATGTTCCTTCAGCAATCCATGATGTCACCCAACCCTCCAGTCATATGCACTGAATCTGCTTATGTACCTCCCCACTCACTTTCCCTTTAAAAGCTCTGAAACCTCTGAAATGTGGGGCTCTAACTCTTTGAGTGAGAGATCCTAGTCAGAAGCCCAGTGGGGTAATAAACTGCTCCTAAACCTCCTTGGTGCTGTTCTTCCTGTGTTCGGTCTTCTTTCTGTAATAGTATTAGCAGTATTTATTAGAGATGCAGGCTCATGATGGTAATTTCAAGGGGAATTTTGAAGGAATAGTGATGCTTCACTTCACGGGTCACTACCTCAAACTCATATATCTGGTTTTGAGTGAGAACTTGGGCAGCAAAGCAGACAAAAATGGATCTGGTGCTCCGGCTTGTGACCAAGTCATTTAACCCACTGAGCTAAGATTCTAACATAAAAGGCATTCTTGATCTCAGTGATTATGTCCTACCTTATCAGAATGCTAAGATTCTAAATTCCTGTGGGATGTGCAGGTGAGACAGGGCAGGTGCGACATTAGTTTTGGTTTTTGCCTTAAAATGTTGGAGAGGAAGCAGGGGTCATAGACACTGGTGCGTTACCCGCGTAACCCATGTGAGTGAACGGATTTGGCCCAGTGGAGGTTCAAATCCCTGTTCTGTGCAAGAGTCCATATTACCAACCTTGGCAGGCAGTTAATGTTTTTCAAGCCACCGTTTGGAGTCCCATATAGAGGGTCAGTGGCCTTCTAAGATTTCTGATACAAACTCTGTGCTTTAGAGGTAAGGGATAGCGCCTTGGATTTTGGCAGACCTGAGCTTAAACTTCAGCTCTACCCTGTACTAAATATGTAAGCTTATATGTATATCTCTCTATAATGCTTCAAAATTTCAAATTTCTGTATCAGCAGAAATAACAACTGTAGTATTTGTCACGTAGGATTCCTAAAGACTACACATGGTCTAGTATTTAATATGTCGTAGGCGCCTTCTTAATGTTAATTCCTCTCCCTTTGTGGCAGAGATAGATCCACTGTAATTGTTTCATTTTTATCTTGATGGCCAGTTGCTCACAGTTAAGAATGGTAGTTACTTGTGCTTTTTCATAGAGTCTGAATCTCTTCAATTTATACTTCAGTTATTCAAAAATAAAGGTTTTTGTCATGAAGAGACACCATGTGAATGGACAGATTTCTCATTTGCCAGTGGGTGTAGAGGGCAGTGATGTTAAGTAGAAATGTCGGTTACTGTCTTGAGGTACAGTCCCTACAGCAGCAACCTCACCTTTAACAATGAGTAGACGCAAGATGGCTTTTCCTTCTTAGGCAAAATGTCACATGGATGACAGCCCGCTGTGATGGTAATTCTACAGCTTGGTTACTCCCAGGGGGAGTCTATTTTAGAAAGCATTTACTACATGTCCTACCGTGTGTGGGAATAATGCCAAGGGTGTAATATAAGCATGGGTAAGACATAATGGAATTACTACCTACAGGGTTGTCTTAGCTTTTCAAAAAATTTAGGCGGTAGTTTGGGCAGAATTGTGTCTAATTTCATCTTGGGAGGCTAAAACGTTTTTCAGTAATGTAATTGGTTGAGATATATTTGAAATTTCTCTTTAGCTGGGCGTGGTGGTACACAGCTGTCATCCCAGCACTTGGGAGTCTGAGGCAGGAGGATCGCCACAAGTTCGAGGCCAGCCTGGGCTACATAATGAGTTCAAGCCCAGCCTGAATGAATGACATAGTGAAACCCTGTCTCAGAAAACAGAAAACAAAAAAAATTTCTCTTTAGATTTTGCTTCTAAAGCCCTCATTTTATTGCAGATTTTTCTTAAACTGCTGGTCTTTATTCTTAGAAAGTGACTTTGATTTAGGAGCCTAGCTAATAGTCACTTACCACTATGTCAGCCTCATAGGTGATGGCCACCGTAGAGTAAATTTAATTAAAAATAAGCCGGCATCATAAAGTAGTGTGGCAGGTTTTTCTTGTATGTCACATAAACTGGTTCTGGAGAGAAAGGCAGTTCCAAAGAAAGCATTCTGCAATTTTTTTTTTTTTTGGCCTTGAAGCCAACATCACTAGCATATATTTATAGCTTCCCAGCAGGAAGAGTTGCTTTGAAATGAATGGTGTTCATACATATGCGATAGTAGGTCTGCCAGAAGAGCCCACACTTACCTCCTAGTGCTACAGGTGGTGCATGAGGAAACACTTGGAGATAGGCTCAAGTGAGGGAAAGGCTAGATTTAATTCCACTACGTACAGGCAGGCTAAAAGCGGAGTGATAGCAACAAGTGGTATGGAGGAAAGGTCCAGACTTTGTAGGGCTTGGGAACAGGGTTTATAAGCCCAAGGAATCTGGATGCAATGTGTGGGGTCAGAGTTGTAAGGATGGTCAGAGCAAGTGTGCATGTAGTGTTGGACATTGTGGCTTCAAGGTATTGTATGTCCAGTGTGGCATTTCTTTATGGCCGTCAGTTCTGTTTGCAGCGGGCAGCGTGGCCCGTTAGTAGTTTTGTTTGTAGCAGGCAGCATGTTTATTGTCAAGCTCTCTCTCAAGTAAGGCCTGACACTTAGCTTGCAAAGTTTTGTTTTGTTTTTCCTTTTAAATATTATTCTGTCGAGCTCAAGGACAGATTTCCTCCAATGAAAGGAAACAGATAAGATACACTCTCAGAAGACTTTCACGAGAAGTACGTTTATACCAAGTTCTTTAAAACTACACGAACTAGAAAAAGATTGCCTCATTATTCTGACAAGGGCTCAGTGATGCGTTTGGTAGAGAGACGGACTTCCATGAAGCATGAGCACCTCTTTACCAACTGCGTCGCTCAGCCCTTGTTGGAATGATGTTCTTGATTTTAAATGGAGCGTCTGAGGTCCCTGACAAGTTCCTCTTCCACCAGAAACAGCAGTGGCATTGGACTCCGAAGATGCTCTCCAACCCCAGCTCTGCCTCTCCTTAGCAGTCACTTAACCTATCTAAGCTCAAGTTTCTCTTACCAGTAACACTGATGGAGTTACAGAACTGGTGTGGGGAATCCAGGGGGCAGGGTATATGAGAAGGAAGCTGTATGGCTTGTAGTCCTTGTCGTCATTTGCCTTATGATGATGAGGCTTTGATTGTTGCAAAATGGAAATGTGTCTCCTCCCTGGGCTCCTCTAGCACTGCGTGTCACAGATCTTGCCTCTTCCTCGTTAAATTGGCCTTCTGCAGTCTTATCGTCGGTAGTTGTTTCCGAGTGAAATACATGTTTTTACCCATCTTCTTCAGTCTTTCTCTCTTCCGCATACTGTGTTGACTGACAGAGTCTTATTCCCTAGAGCTGTCAGAGTTTTTCCCTGAGAGGTGAAGTCTGTGCTTGTACCGAAGCAGAGACTAAGAAATATTGGTGGTTTATCTTCAGAGGATTACCTGGGAAGCTGAAGCTTGTGTCACGGGAGGCTATGCATACAACCTTGATATAGCAGGCTCTGCTGGAGCATGAGGGAACCAGAAGACAGGCTTTGGAGTTCAAACATTTATAATTTTAGAGAAAGAAAGAGTGATTGAATGATTTAGAGAGTACAGGCAATGGCTAAGGAGTATAGGCCAAACAATAATGTGAAGTAAATATTTTAAAAAAGTATATAGCTTTAAAAATTGAAAGCATATTAGTGATTGCTGGGGATGAGGAGGAGGACGTGGTGGGAGGGAGGGATGACACAGGACAGGCAGAGATTTTGGAGAATGATGGATATGTACATTATCTTGATTACCCAGACTGGTTCATGGTTGTGTACATGTATAAAAGCATATGAAATGCATCTAGATTACTGTATATCAAGTTTACCTCAATATAGTTGTTAAAAATTGTATACCTTCATTACTATGGAAGGAGGGAAATTTTGGAAAAGAGATGTTTGCTATGGAAAATAGCATTTTAGGAGGAAAAGCAAAACACAATCCAAAAATAGTTTTTCGCTTTTTTTCTCCTCTTCAATTCCCAGATTGGGCCCTCTAATCAAAGATCCCATGATATCTAAAAGTAATCTGAACTCTTTAGGAGTAAACCGTTTTGTAGTAGCCAAGGTTTTAGAGAACAGTGACCTTATACAGCTCCTGGAAGTTGAACACAAGCCCTTCCTACCCTTCCAGAGAACTTGTTGCTTAATGGAATTTTTTGGGAACTCCTAAACAGTTTGAATTCTAGCCAGAGGTCTGTGAGTTGTTGTTAACTCTGTTATTTGGGGCTGCAAAGTTATAGCTCATTTGCAAAACATCTTGAGACCCAGCTGAAGGCAGCACTCTGCTTTTCTGGATGGAAACAATGTGTGTTCTTTCTAATAACTATAATGGATGTTGCTCCTGTCTTGTTTTTGGCCTCTGAGATAATCAGAGGTAAACTGGAAGCTCAGCCATAACAACGCTGGTCTATATGCC